ACTAAATATAACTACCCATTTCTGCTACATTCATTTGAAAATGCCCCGGTCTTAGTAGATGGATCTGTAATTTTGGTAACTGGGTTTTGAATACATTTAAAACTTTTCAGTCTTCTGTTTCCCGACCTTAAAATTCAGGCAAGCTGCATAGACTGGGAAGGGTTAATCAGCTTTCCTCAAACTACATTAATGCACCTTTTGTTGTTAAAAACATGCTTTGTGCACAAGGAGATATAGTGCCTTTTTTGATTTCCACAAAGAAATCCCAAATTATGTTTCTGTAATTATGCATACAATGGAAATGTTTTCAGAATTGCCTCTTCCTCTAAAATGCTCATTTTGTGTAATCATCCATGGGTTCAGAGCCACTAATTACCAGAAATTGTTCTACACATTACATGTTCCAAAGGTCAATTACGGGAGAATGAAGAAAAGTGTCAATCCAACCAAATGCGTAAGCCAATTTTCTGTTACTGCCGCAACATGTTGTCTTTATTGCTTTTGTTTTTCCCATTCACTGTTTACAAAGCGTTCAATTAAAGTGATTCATTTACCTGGTAGTGAGCAGCTGAACATAGCTGGTATTTACAGAGCAGTGCTTTACAGAAATGTGCTTTAAAAAAAAACTAAGAAGAAAGCATTTCTGTTTGAACTATCTGATTTTTACAATTTGATTGATACTGGGCAGATGTGACTACTCTGCACCTTTCCTATAAGCATGTGGCCAGGAGATAAGCAGGGCATAGCATATGATGTCGCCATCAGCTTTGTTTATTCATGCCTCCTATAGTTTTACCTATTGTTCTGAAAATAGCAGTTTAATAATCTTTATTATCTGTTTGTCCTACACATACTCTTTTAACTCTGTAACAAAAGGTTTCAGTTAAAGTAAGATTTGTATTAAACTGTCATGAAAAATGTCATGTGTTTCTGCCTTAAATACTGGGTTAGAAGCATTTCCTGAAATTGATGGATATCTGCATAATTTTGAAGCATTGCTTGAAAAGAGACGTAACATTTCGGCTGTGGAGCCTTCTTCAGGTGTGTGAGGAGGACCTCACACCTGCAGACGGCTCCAGAGCCAAAGTGTTGTGTCACTTTTTATCTTTTCCTTTCAGTAATGCATTTAGTTGAGCTGCCTTATAAAGGTTCTTTAATTGCTTAAACTCTGCATTGGAGCAGATAAACAGAACAAAGTTTACAAAAGAAAAAACAATGAAATATAGTATCAGAGATGCATAATTAAAGCAGTGATATGTGTAATTTTTTTAGCATTTTAAGAACTGAAAATTGTCTTGGAAAAAAAAAGGTGTTTCTAAATTGTCTTTTGGTATGGATTTAATAAGGACAGAATTGTCAGCTGATTATCACTGACATCACCTACAAGGTGAGTGCAAGTTACAAAAAGCCTATTTTTAAATAATTAGTACTTTCTTTTGCTCGTTCAGCTCAGAAACTGTTAAGGGTGTCTACAGCGTTCTTACTCAGGGGAGAAAAAACTCTCTTCCAGTCATTGTTACATTTTCTTGCCAAAGAGTGGTCTTGTGTGTGGTTCATCACCAAGGTTTATGTGCATTGTGAGGCACTAGGTCAAACAGTGCAGTGAGCCACTAAAAGCAATAAAAAGGCAAACAAAACCTTAAGCTATACTGCATAGTCTAAAGTATATCATTCAAATCAAGGGATCTCATTTTAAAATTGTGTAATGCACTAGTTAGGACTCATTTACAATGTTGTGTACAATTTTGGTCACCATGTTACTAAAAACAAATATTGCTGCTCTGAATTTAGTCCAGAAAAGAGCAACGGCAATAAATGCATTAACGGACATAAAGAATGTCCTATTGCCCATGCGCGTATTCAATATAAGGATTCAAAAATACAAGCATTCAAAATTTTCAAACACAGATGAGAGGACACAAGAGGAAAGTATGAAGAAATGTGTTGAACCAAATGGTTGTGGTAGTGTGGAACATGCTCTCCAGCCTCGTGATTGGAGCCAATACTCTGGCTTCTTTCTAGAAATGGCTGGATAAGATCCTGGGAACAATTTCCTACTAACTGCCAAATGTGCTAGGTGGGCCAAACGACCTCCTCTCATTTGTAACCTTTATTTGTCTTTTTATGAGCCGTCACAAAGGTGGCCATATTCCACTACCAGTGTTGAAGACCAAGAGAGAACCGATGCATTAGCTTATTCTGTTTAGATGTTCAAATAACCTTAGTGATCCCTTCTATGGGCATTTAAGTACAGTAAATGCAGTAAACAGTTGCATTCTATATGAACAAATCATGTGATTAGTCTTCATTTCACTTCTTAAAGGAGGCTTTTCTGATAACGCAGGTGTAAGGAACACTATAAATAAACCATTTTAATACAAAGAAATGACATGTCATACAGTATAGGGCAGAGCAGCTTTTCAGCATATTGTATGATGTCCATGCTGCAGTTTTGTATAGCCCTGGTCCCTGTTACTGTACATATTTAAGGAATGTTGTATGTGAGTCTAATGGTTTTATTCCTTGATGTTTACAAATATGTGTTGTACCAGTGCTTGTTTGCTTGTTCTGTTGGAACTGTCAAGGCTGGATTTGAATTCCCGGTTTTACCCTTGGGACTCCCATTTTAAACATGATATAGGACAATAATCATTCTACAATAAAGGATGGACTGAGGTACAACAGATTACGTTCTCTGTAAGCTTAATTATATTAACATAAAGACAAGACTGATTACTAAATGTGATACTTGTTTCCATGTCAGGTATTCAATCATTTTCCATGTTTTTATCAAATTAGGCATAGCTTAAAGCTAATGTTGCAGCAGAGCAAACAGGTATACTGTATATGAAGGAACTAAGAAGTGCAGTTATCATAATCTAATGATAAATTTGAACTGTCAAAATAGTGGCCTGTTACATTAACATTCAATTGGGATGTCATACTGAAAAATGTTGATTTTACAACTGCAGTGTCTTTTGTGAAATCTTCACAAATACAACACACTTTTAAAATAGACTGTGAAACATAATGTTTTTTTTAATGGGACAATAATATTTTTGATGCTGGAGAATTTGTTTTATTCATACTGGACAAGATTGTAAAGCACTAGTTATATACTGTAGATACATGTATTAATGTGTCATGCAGCATTTTCATTTTGACATTATTGTGAATGTCAAAGGTCACAAGAGGGCCTCTCTCAAGCTGGTTTTCTGACTTATCAGTGTCATCAGAGTGTATATTATCTGTGTTAAAAGTTTAGTGCTGTCAGAACAAGTGTCTTTCATAGTTCTGGATATGATTATAAATGTCTATAAATGAAAATCCTGTACTTCACCTTTCCGAGCAGACCTTTCCAACAGTTGTCTGCACGTAAATATGACAGATGGGTCTTTAATAGGAAAGCAGAGTTAACAACATGCCTGTTTACAATATTAATCTTCGAAATATGCTTCGTTCTGCCACCTTGAAAGCCAGGTTTGCGCAAATCCCTCTTTATTGCAGCATATGTCAACAGAAATGAACTCCCATCTGCTGCTGTGTAGCTTAGCGCTTGGCATTCTGTGATGAAGGCTCATCACAATACCTGGGCTCTGTTTGTAATTACAGGTGTGTACTGAGGAAAGCAACACATTAATCAGCCTTTTAATTATAGAAAGGTGGGTCTTTTGTTCAGCCCGTACATACAGAATTCACTGTGCACTGTGATCCTAGGAGAACCCATCTGCTGCTTTTCTCAGAACATGTTTGCTTTGTTGGATATTGCCTGCCCAGGGCTGAGAGGATTTAAAACCTCTGTTTAAATATTAACCTGGTGGAAGGGAATTGGCTCCACCTCTTCACAGCTTTAAAGAGCTATCTCATTTGTAATCGGCCCCTTTTCTTTTTCATTATATCTTCCAGGAAACTCTCTAGCGAGGACCATTTCTGTTGTATGGAGCACTATGCACTATTTGAAGTAGAAGCAATCATTTCTTTATGCAGCCCATGTGTAAAGCCTGAGCACAAAACTGGTGGTGCTACTTTAGCATAAAGGAAATATTAATAGATTTAAGTGCGGTTTATGTTATCTGCCTTGCACACTTCAGTATATGTTGAGCCATCTGTTCTTAAAATTGTACCGTATTTTGGTCAATACATTTCCTATTGTAATTGTTTCTAAATTACTCATTCAGAGTTTGTTAATATTTCATAATTCCTTAACATTTACCTCCTTGGTATTTTAAAGCAACATTACAAAGTTTTAACTGGATGAAAAAAAAACATTTAGACATGATGGCTTCACAGTGCTTGACAGTAAAAACACAAGCAGCTTCCGAACAATTTGATTATCCAGCAGTATAATTTATCCAACAAAAACATATTTGATAAAAAAAAATAGTGGTCTTGAGGCTCAATATACAGTATATTAATGGAGCTGTTTAGGAATGAATATTTGGTTAATCTGTGATATTGTCTACTGTATACTGTGCCATATTCTGAAATACAAAGGCAAAATTCTTCAATTATAATTTATGTTGGATGTACTTTGGTATTCTCTGATGTCTGATGTCATCTGCGCCTTCCTCTAAGATGTTTTTGATTTTGCCTTTATCTTCCTTTTTACGGAGAATTTAGCCGGGCAGTACTGCAGATGAAAAAAAAAATTGTACATAAATGAACTAGGAAATAAGACTGGTTTCAGCTTTGTATGGTACATCTAAATTCAATCTCTTCTCAACATGGTTCATTTGGGTACACGCCTGTCTTTGTGTTGCTGGCCTGCTTTCCTCAGCAGGATTTGTGCACCATCACATGTTTGTTACAGACCTTTTTAATTTAAATGCAGTACAGGTTTTCAGCAGGTAAAATCGCAGTGTTTTTCCAGTCACGGAGTCGAATCAC